TTCGATAATTACATAGTGTAATTAATTACATCCGTAAATCTAAACTTTCTGTCTTTATTTTTGCTGTTGTATCTCAACTGTTTTTCATTATTATGAGTTTGGACTATGTATATAACTACAAGAAAAACAAGATTTTTCCGACTAGTTAAACCTGTTTGACAAAAAGATTATGGATCAAAAGTCAAATATATCTTAAGGTTTCAGTTTTTCAACCGCTGTAAATTTTGGGTAGTTTCAAACTATTTGAATTATTTATGCAAAAAATTGTTATTAAATGTGTCTCTAATGTGGTATAAAAAGAATCAGAGCTCCACAATCTATATATAATAGCAATCTAATAAATACCATTTGCACATCTGAACGGTTGTTTCTTTTTACCGCAACCTTTCGTTTAAATCGGTTATTTTTTTACGGTTATTTTGGTTGCTTTTTTTAATCGCAATTTTCGTTATAATCGGTTACTTTTACGGTTATGTCGTTTCCAATAAATACAATTTGCACATCTGAACGGTTGCATCTTTTTATTGCAACTTTTCGTTTAAATATTTATGGTTACTTTCGGTTGTGTTTTTATCGCAACTCTTCGTTAAATATTGACGATTACTTTTTTATTGACGGTTATTTTTCGGTTGTGTTATTGTAACATTTAAAATATTAGCGGTTAGTTTTTCGTTTGTGTCTTTTTATCATAATTTTCTGTTAAAATATTGACGGTTATTTTTTTCGGTTGTGTCTTTTTATCGCAACTTTCCGTTAAAATATTGACAGTTATTTTTCTCGGTTGTGTCTTTTTATCTCAACTCTCCGTTAAAATATTGACGGTTATTTTTCACGGTTAAGTCTTTTTATCGCAGCTCTTCGTTAAAATATTGACGGTTACTTTTTTCGTTGACGGTTATTTTTCGGTTGTATATTTTTTATCGCAACTTTTCGTTAAAATATTGACGGTTACTTTATACGTTTGTGTCTTTTTGTCATAACTTTCTGTTAAAATATTGACGGTTATTTTTTCTTGGTTGTGTCTTTTTGATCGCAACTCGTCGTTAAAATAACTACGGTTACTTTTTTCGTTGACAGTTATTTTTTTTGTTGTGTCTTTTTATCCTAACTTTCCGCTAAAATATTGACGGTTACTTTTTTTGTTTGTGTCTTTCTATCGCAACTTTCCGTTAAAATATTGACGATTATTTTTCTCGGTTGTGTCTTTTTTATCGCAACTCTTCGTTAAAATAATTGCGGTTATATTTTTTCGCTGATAGTTCTTTTTTCGGTTGTGTCTTTTTATCGTAACTTTCCGTTAAAAATATTGACGATTACTTTTTTCGGTTATGTCATTCTATCGTAACTTTCCATTAAAATATTGACGGTTATTTTTTCTCGGTTGTATTTTTTTTATCGAAACTTTCCGTTAAAATATTTACTGTTATTTTTCTCGGTTGTATCTTTTTATCGCAACTCTTCGTTAATATATTGACCGTTATTTTTTTTCGGTGATGGTTATTTTTTTGGTTGTGTCTTTTTATCGCAACTTTCCGCTAAAATATTGACTGTAACTTTTTTTTCGTTTGTGTTTTTTTTTATCGGTACTTTGCGTTAAAATATTGACGGTTATTTTTTCTAATTTGTATTTTTTAAAATCGCATCTTTGTTGAAATAGTGACGGTTATTTTTTTGCGTACAGTTCTATTTTTCAATTATAGTCATATTTTTTTTCAGTTTACGGTTGTATCTTTTTAGTTGCATCTATTCATTTAAAATTACATTTCTTCACTATATTTCATTGCATTTTTTCGTCACAATTTTTTGTATGAATAATTGTCTATTTAAATGTTCGTGACTTCTGAACTCTAAATAATTGTCTTTCTTTAGTTCCCAAATTTATGTTCTTTAACATAGATTATTTGTTTTATGATGAATCAAAAAAAAAAATCTGTAAAGTGGATCTAAATTCTTAATTCTCTAAACTATTTCTAAACATACATCATTTTAATATTAAAAAAATTCTTCCGATTTTTGATTTAACCAAAGTTTTTTGGAATGATTATAAAAAGAGAGAAGTTTTTATCAACTTTAAATATAAAATTCTAATGAAGATACCGACAATTTTGTTCTTAGAATTGGACTGTGTATACAATAACTTTTTTATTTAGCTATTTTATATGATAACAATAATTTTTTTTTTATTTTATCTTAAAGCAATATATATGGGTTGTATACAACAAAATATTGATTCTGATTTAGCACTATTACAAAGTTCGAATATGAGAAGACATCCTGATGTGACGTTTGTGATTGAGCGCTTTAAATGTGGTAAGCGTCAAATAAACAGTTTCAAATAAAATAGTAATCCTGAAATCATCTTCATTATTAGGAATAAAGCAATGATTCCAATTCGTCACATGAATGTTCGAGGAAAAAGTTTTTTTTTTACTCAGTTAATTAATCAATACAAATATAAATTTATGAGATCGTGTAAATGTTTATTTGTTTGTTATAGATGTAATTTACGTCATCAAATTTTATATCTTCTCGAATATATATAATAAACTAAATATTAATTTTATATTTAAAGAACAGTGGACAAGCAAATAACACCAATTCTTCTGCGTTCTTAGTCACCCATAAACCATGCTGAGTACCGATTCCATCCGAATTTTTGGGTTTTGACCCGCTAGAATTTTTCATCTCTATATTATAACTTCTTTTTATGTATATTGTCACTTATAAATAATTTTACATTTATAAAAGTTGTTTCAAAAGTGTTTTTAATCATAATTTTTCTTTTTTTACATTTTTATTCATAAATTGTTTTAACATCTTTGAAAATATTTACGATATAGCTTTAAAACATAGTTAATTTTATGTAATAATTCAACTTTTTGAATATATTATCATAATAATTTAATACATAAACACAATCAAATGTATTTGTTAAAAATGAGTTCCCCGCGACATCGCGGGGGTTCATAACCTAGTATAATTAATAGTAAGACACAATTAAAAAAAAACTAGGTTGGAAAAAATATAGGAATATAGGAACGATAACAAATCTGAAAATTCCTAATTAAAATTTGATTTTCAGGTTAGAGAAGAATATAGGAATCATAACAGATGTGTAAATTTCTGATAATGGCAATTTGATTTTTAAAACACAGCAACCATCGCTGATTCAAATCAAAGGATTTGTTTGTGCCGCTGATTATTCCGGGACTTTAAAATTTTAAGACTGGAGTCGCGACGACATAAATTAAAGAGAGATGAAGGAGAAGTAATGCAATTTTGTGATCTCCCGTGGGTGTCGCTGCAACTCACTCCGAACAGGGCCTAATTCACTTACCAAGTTCCTTCTGACTTCTCAAATTATAAAGTTTCATATTAGTTTTTTTTTTTTTTGGTCCGGAAGTTTCATATAATTAATTTGTTTTCACTTTTCATTATTTTGTTTCTAATGAAATGAAAATAAACTTTCATTAAATCAAAACATATTTATAGTATTTTTCTCCAACATACTATTGTTATGTTTTCAGTAAGCTCCATATCATCAGCAAATTTATTACAAATCCATGAAAGTGTAGCTTAATGACAAGATGACAAGACAATCTTATTTTGTATAAATAAGTAACGACTTAACGAGAAGAAATGTTTTTTTTTTTATATATTAAAAAACAGAAGAATTAAGCCTAGCAAAAAATATCAAAAAAATAGAAAATATATAAATCAATATATTATTTACTATAAATCCTATATTTTTGAGCTAATTATTTTTGGAACAAATTAAAAATATAATTAATATTATCAACAATAATATTGTTATTTTTATTTACTGAAAATTGAAATAATGATTACTCTAAACATAGCAAATGAGTTTCCTTAATTTCTTCATTATTAAAAATAAGTACGAAGTAATTTAACTATTACAAAATTAAATACAAATTTAAAATTAATTTATTTAAAATAATGCTATATACTGTAACTAAAAATTTATTATTTTATATTTTCAATAGAAATTTTATAGTTTTCAAATTACCGTAAAATTGAGTGTAATTTTAAATTATCTTATTATATTAAGTACATGTTACATGTATAAAAATGTACTCCATCCGTTTCAAAATATAAGGCGTTTTAACTAAAAGCACGCCGATTAAGAAGATCTACTTTTTAAAAGTTCAGCCAATCATAAAAGATACTGCATAATAAAAATAATCATAAAATATTAAAGTAATATATAATTTGCATAGAAACTTGGAAACGACTTATATTTTGAAACAAAAAAGTTTTTCCAAAACACCTTATATTTTGAAACGGAGGGAGTATATTTGTCTGTAAATGAAGTCATGGTTGTCTCTTTATTACTCAGTTTTACTGGTTTGCATGTATTTTTTAGCTCCTCAGTAAGTCACCAACCAAGTTTCTTCCGACTTTTCAAATTTTAAAGTATCGTAGTTTTGTTTCTAATGAAATGATAATAAACTTATATTAAATCAAAATTTATTTATAATGTTTTTCTCCAATATAATATTGTTATTTTTTCAGTAAGCTCCATATCATCGTCAGGACTTATTACACAACGATAAAGAGTAGCTTAATGGCAAAAATACAATCGTATTCTGAATAATTAAGTAATGACTTAATCAGAAGAATGTTTACTTAAACAATATTTTAAAAGCTTAAAAAATCGTAATTATTGGTGAAATTTTCACATTATCAAGAAATATTCTATAATGTAATTGTCTAACTTTGATTTAGAAATACTACCATTTTTTATACTTCAACGCCTTAACGTAAAAAAAAAACAATTGGTCATCACCTCAACCAAAATGTTGACTCTGTTCTGTTCTGTAAGTCTTGTAAGATACTTTTCTTTTAATAAAGAATACATTTCTATGCAAAAAAAACAAAAAAAAAAAGAGCCAAAAAACCAAAATCTCTTGACTTATGACTTATCAGTTCACAATAAGTCGCGGTTTAGACAAGCCCCACTTTCATTTCTTCCTCACGTTTTTCCTATAAGGTTGATGCATCGCGTTCACAATAATAGTACGTACTAACGCGGTTCAGACAAGTCCCACTTTCATTTGATTCCTCACGTTCTAATCCGCAAAACAAAAGTGACGAATGTTAATGGCGTTTTCTTCTTGTTTTCTCTTAATTCTTCTGCAACTTTTCTCAGCTTCATTTCTTAGTGTTGCTCAAGATCAGTCAGGTTAATAAATAAAAGATACAACACCTCCGTCAAAACCGCTTTGGTTTTCAAAATGTTCTGCTAAAGATTCTTCTTTTTTCTTTTTCCTCAGGATTCATCAGTTTGGATTGCGGTTCACCGAGAGGAAACAGCTTTCGTGAGAGAACAAATATTACTTACATTTCCGATGCCAATTTCATTAATACCGGTATTTCTGGAAGCATCAAACAAGTTTACCGGAGTCAATACCAGCAACAAACATGGTATAGATAACATTCTCAAGATCAATGAATGTTAACTTAAACCTCACACTAAATTGTTTTTTTTTTTCACCTTCTTCCACAAGGAACGTACGGAGTTTTCCACAAGGCACAAGAAACTGCTATACCTTAAATCTAACCATAGGCGACAAATATCTAATCAGAGCCACTTTCCTTCACGGCGGTTATGACGACCAACCCTCAACGCAATTCGACCTCCACCTTGGGCCTAACCTTTGGTCTATAGTTTCAACCAGAAACGAAACCGAAGCAGTAGCCTTTGAGATGATTCATCACTTGACCACTGATCGCTTACAAATCTGTCTTGTCAAAACAAGAAATTCGACACCTTTTATCTCCGCTTTAGAGCTTCGTAAACTCATGAACACAACTTACTGGACTCGACAAGGGTCCTTGCAGACCTTCATCAGAGCAGACGTTGGAGCAACTGTTAACCAATACAGGTTTATAAGTTTCAAAATCTCATGTTAAGAGTTGGTATGAGAAAGCTCCTAAATATACTCTGTTTCTCTTTGTTTTAGGTACGGAATCGATGTGTTTGATCGTGTCTGGACTCGATATAATTTCAGGAACTGTTCACGGATTAGTACCAATCACACAGTAAACGTAAACAATGACTATCAACCACCAGAGATTGCTATGGTCACAGCCTCTTTTCCAACAGACCCGGACGCACCTATGAACATTTCGTTATTCGCGGTGGAACCTACTTTGCAACTCTTTATGGTAATGCATTTTGCGGAGATTCAAGAGCTCAATTCCAGCGACGTAAGAGAGTTTAATATCATGTACAATGGCAAGCATATCTACGGACCCATCAGACCGCTTAATTTCACCACTTCTTCTGTATTTACCTCTACCGAAGTTGTTGCGGATGAAAGTAGACAGTACACATTTTCGCTTCAAAGAACAGAAAATTCGACTTTACCTCCTCTGCTCAATGGCATGGAAATTTTTTGGGTTAACTTGTTGCCGCAACAAGAAACTGATAGAAAACAAGGTTGGTAAAACTAACTGCCTTATTGTTGATTAAGAACCAAACTTTTACTTACTTAGGAAAAAATGTTTTCAGTTGATGCAATGATGAACATCAAGTCGGCTTATGGCGTGAACAAGATTGACTGGGAAGGAGATCCTTGCGTGCCGCTGAATTACAGGTGGTCTGGTGTTAATTTTGACAAAAGGTTTTAAAATCTTGGAATTTTGAAAACAGGAACCTTTCTGCAAGTGGCTTGACCGGAGAGATATTGGAATTCATATCAGACCTTACCAGTTTAGAAGTTCTGTAAGTAGTTAATATGCTCAAGTCTCTTAGAATATGTAGCAAAGTTTTGATTGAAAGTCATTTTTGATTGGTCTTTTTTTTTTTTTTTTGGTTTGATTTTCTTGCAGTGACTTGTCTAACAATTCTATGACTGGTTCAGTCCCAGAGTTTCTAGCAGACATGGAAACCTTAAAACTCATGTGAGTTTAAACGAGGAGAATCTGAAACTTTTTATTCCTCTAACACCTAAAGGGTAACATTTTGTAACCTATAATCACTCTGTTTTGTATAGAAATCTATCAGGAAATGAGCTAAATGGCTCAATCCCTGCAACTCTCCTTGATAAAGCACGAAGAGGATCGATTTCGATAAGGTAATATATAACCCGTTGCGTATGTGCAAGAAAATACAAATAATTAAATCCTGAAGACTTTTCTAATGAAATTTTTCTTTCAATCACCTATGTGGAGACCCTAGTATCGAAGGAAATGTCGGGCTCTGTTCATCTACTTTATGCCCTACCACGGAAAAGAAGAAGAAAAACACTGTCATTGCACCTGTTGCTGCATCACTTGTTTTATTCTTCCTCATTGGAGCTGGAATCGTTACTTTCCTTATCCTCAAGAGGAAGAAGAGTGCCAAACTTGGTCTACATTCGAGGACTCACCACGGTTTTGAACCTCCCGTCATAGCGAAAAACCGGAAATTGACTTACGTTGATGTTGTTAAGATCACAAACAACTTTGAGAGGGTTCTTGGTAGGGGAGGTTTTGGTGTGGTTTATTTATTTTTTTATTTTTTTTGATAACCCAGGTATCCGGGCCGAAGCCCGACTAGCACCAAGGCTTGAGGCCGGTTCCCTTTCAGGCCGTCCGAGCCCAACGCTTAGTGTGTTTCCTGGAGGCCTGCAGCCGCCATGTAAATACCGCAGTGGCCAACGCTAGCCCTCGAACTGCGGGCACCATATTGGAATTACCTCCTCAAGTGCCACTAGCCCAACCCACGTTGGTTTTGGTGTGGTTTATTACGGCGTATTAGATAACGAACCAGTCGCTGTTAAGATGCTCACTGAATCTACCGCACTTGGTTACAAACAGTTTAAAGCCGTGGTATTAACAGATTGAATAGCAACCAAATCATTTTCTAACTATTATATAAAAAAAAAAATGGTGTTTTGATTGCGTCTTGGATCTGTTTTTGTTTTGTTTACTTGTTAGGTTGAGTTGCTTCTTAGAGTTCATCATAAAGATATCACATGTCTTGTTGGATATTGTGAAGAAGGTTAATCTATGAGTTCATGGCGAATGGCGACTTAAAAGAGCACTTATCAGGTCTGGTTTTTAACGAAATGTTACTAAAATGTAGAAACATTTTGTTTTAAAGATTCTGATGTTTTGTTTCAAAATTTGATTTCAGGGAAGCGTGGACCGTCGATACTAACTTGGGAAAGGAGGCTTTGTATAGCAGCAGAATCAGCGCAAGGATTGGAATATTTGCACAATGGATGCAAACCCCAAATAGTTCACCGCGACATTAAGACAACCAACATCCTATTAAACGAGAAATTCCAAGCTAAGCTTGCGGATTTCGGGCTTTCACGGTCTTTCCCACTTGGAACTGAAAGTCACGTCTCAACCGTAGTCGCTGGAACTCCCGGATATCTCGATCCCGAGTAAATCTTAATCACTTCTCTCTACTACAACTATCGAAATTTTTTTAATGATAACTCTTAACATTGTGTGGCTTTTCCTTCTTCTCTTGTTATTTCTTCAGATACTACAGAACTAATTGGTTGACCGAGAAAAGCGATGTGTTCAGCTTCGGTGTTGTTCTACTAGAGCTAGTAACAAACCAACCCGTGATAGACATGAAAAGAGAAAGACCATATATATCTGAATGGGTAGGTTTGATGCTATCAAGAGGAGACATTAACAGCATTGTGGATCCTAAGCTTCAAGGAGAATATGATCCAAACACGATATGGAAAGTTGTTGAGACCGCAATGACATGCCTGAATCCGTCTTCTTCACGGAGACCGACAATGAATCAAGTCGTACTGGATTTGAAAGAATGTCTGAACATGGAGATGGCAAGAAACATGGGAAGTCGTATGACAGATTCAACTAACGATACTTCAATCGAGGTGTCCATCAATTTCACAACAGAGCTTAATCCAGTAGCTAGATGAACTAAATATGTTTGAAGCTCGAACTCTTTACGTACACTTTTCTTTTGTTCTGTTTGTTATAAATAGAGTCCGTCTAAAAAAAAAAAGTACTCCGTTCCGCTTCTTTGTTCCAAAAGAAAAAACTTTTTTATCAGACTCAAATCAATTAGATGGTCGTTGGCTCGGTAAAAGTTATATTATTATGTTAAAAAGATGGGCCATAGAAATTAGAGGAAACAACACGAAAATAATTTTCAAGACTAAACAATGTAGTCTTAGAGGCAAGCGAGCCAAGCGACCTGGCCTAGAAATGCATCAACCATCTTGTTTGAGATTCGAAGAGCATCCTCGGTTTTCCCGGCTTTTAGATATGCATCAATCATTGTTGTGTGTGTAGAAACATCAGGAGGCAACAATCTGTCTGAACACATTTCTTCAAACAAGTACTCTGCCTCAAACAATATGCCTTGTTTGTTAAGCCTTGTGATAATGTTTCTGTAACATGTAACATCTGGGTTCTTCAGCTTTGATGCTTTCACCTTGTAGAAAATTTGGATTGCCCAGTCAAACCGACCTATCTTGAAACACTCATTCACCATAATATTTAGGGTATTTTCATCAAAATTGTTCATTTCCTTGCTATGCGAAACCTCGTTGAATAAGGACCAAGCTTCACTTTTCTTGCCATACTTGAGAAAAAGGACCAAAAGTGCGTTGAGAGCAGTGGCTTCCCTAAGTTTTCCCAACTGCAAAAGACTGTAACAATCCATAGCTTTCTCCTCCTTACCTTGCTCGAACCAATACTTCATGTATGTGTAACTAAAAATCGCAACACGGTCATATCTATCATCATACACATGAGAGCTCCCCAATACATCGCCCAATACCTCATTGACCTTTTCAACATCCCCTTGACGCAATAACCCCTCCAACAGGGGCTTGCACACATCCGAGGACAAATAGGAAAACTTGCACATATTCGAGGACAAATTGGGAAACCCTATTGGCTTTAACCGATCCATGGCTTCGTCTAGCCTCCCGGCTTCGACCAAATTTTGAATATTATATAGTATTATATTTTTGTTCAATTTTATTTTATTTTTAAAAAATTAAAAATACACACTGGCCGGGTTCTTGATGAAACAGATAATGACATCACAAAGTTCATAGAATGCAGAACACACGTCTTTCTTTTCCTCTAGAAAAATATATCACACAAAAACAGTTCAAAATCTTACCAAACCGCTAACAGAATTTTCTTTTCTGTTATTAGAAAACTTAATAAATCACCAAAATATATTCACATAAACCTGTCGATAATGTTACTATATAAGACTCAGAAAACGAAGCTCCCAACTTGAAAGTATCCATTGCCTCCTTAAACTTACCGATCTTGAAACACTCATTCACCATCATATTAATAGTCTCTGAATCAAAACTATCTCGACCAAACTCATCACTGTACTTAGGTTCTCGTGTCTTAGCATTGTTTATCATCTCCTCGAACAAAGCCCACGCCTCGGATATCTTACCGTGCTTTAGAAAGATTCTCAAAAAGTTCGTTGCACACATGAATTTTCTATCCTTGGTGGAGATGATTGAGCTATAAAACTTCATGGCTTCCTCATTATTGCCTTGTCTAAACCAGTAGTCCACAAATTCTGCATCCACCATCGCTATTTCGTTGAAGTCATAAGGATAACTAGGTCTATTTCGGACAAATTCATGGGATAATTCATCAGCTTTGTGGAAGTTTCCAAGATCCAAGAATCCGCGAATCAGATAGCTGTATGCAACTGAATCCCACAGACTTACCGCCTTAATCATACCCAAAGCTTCATATATCCTCCCTGCGTCGACAAGACCTTTGGTCAGAATCCTGTAAGTGTCTTCGTAGTCTAGATCAGAATCTTGGTTTTCTAGAATTGAATCTTTAGCGTGACGGTATAGTTGGAGGGCTTTGTCTACACGATTCATATAACAATGGACTTTGATGATGTGGTTGAAAGAGACGATGCTAGGAATAAGTTTACACTCGTTGAAGTAATAGTGGAACAGAGCGATGGCGTCCTCGTAACCTTTGGCGCCGATCATGGCGTCGATCATTTCGTTGCACATGACGAGTGTTGTCTCGGGGCCATCTCGATGTTCTTCCGAACCAGCGAAACGAGACATCTCCGCAGCCTTGTCCAATTTTATTGAGGTTTTTATATATCCAAACATTATCATGTATAAAATTGGTTTATGACGAATATTGTTTCAGAATTGTATGAGTGATACGTTGTTGACAAGGTTGATAGAAAAAATACTTTGACACTAAGAATAATTGCTCATACGATAGTTTCAATTACATGAGTGAATGATTAAAAAAACTAGACATTACATTTATCAAAACATGATATTAAATAAACAAAACAAAAATCATATACTCCCTCCGTATTTTATTAATTATCGTTTTAGGATTTTCTTTTTTAAAAAATTAGATGTCGTTTTCAAATTTCTATGCAAAATTTTTTACTTTTTAATGTTTTATGATATCATAAAACATTAAAAAGTAAAAAATTTTGCATAAAAATTTGAAAACGACATCCAATTCAAAAAAATAAAAATTCTAAAACGACAATTAATAAAATACGGAGGGAGTAAAACAAGCGGTGTAGTGCGGATAATATGATAAAACAAAAACAGGAAGAAGTAGAGATATAAGGAAGAGTGGTAGCGGTTTAAGAGCATCAGCCGTGGAGATTAGAAGAGAAGGCAATGGAGAAGTTATAGCCACAGTAAGAATTTGGATGTCACAACTCACAACTTGTCTTATTCATCTTTTTTTTTTTTTTTTTTTGTGCAAAACTTGTCTTATTCATCTATGAATCAATATTCATAGGCGTTTGTTGTTTCTTTAAAGATTTCGTGTTTCAAGTATTTAAGATACCTCTCCAGTTCAATTTACACAAACAAACTCAATTACAAAAATTAATTTTTACAAATGTAGAGATTTATTAATATTAAGTAAATCTACTGTAGCCACTTTTTCTCTCACCGTAAAATTTGATTCTCCAGCAATGATTTCTTCTCATATGGTATGAAACTATCAACCGATTATATGGTACATATGTTTATGTATATTTGCATGCAAGAGTTTTTTTAAATGATTGATATTTCAAAATTTTATATCTTATATTTGTGTTATATTTTTATTCTCACAACTATACTTGATCGTTGTATATATTTATAGTTGTCAAAGACGATGAAAAACTATTTATATAACTAGGCTAATACCCGCACAACGTGCGGGTTTTTCCATCCATAATTTGTTAGTTATAACTATTTACATCGATTGAATTAATTTGATACATAATCCTTTTGGTGTTTTTTTTCTTCTAATAATCATTTTGTTATATTCCTTTAACTCTCAAGTAAATAATTCATTCTATGTTTTGTATTTTAATTTATGTTTAATTACATTGTTATATATTTGGTTATCTTTAAAATAATTTAATTTATGTATTCATTCTAATTTATGTATTTTAATTCATGGGCACTAATCCTATATATATTATAGTATATGAAAACATGAAATAAATACTAATATCATATTATTTATTTTTATACGTTAATAAATCTAAAATTTAATTAAAATTCTATTGATTTTAAGTTTACACATAAGTGTATACAATTTATACAGCTCAATTTAAATAATTTAATTTCTATATGAGTTTGATATACTTTTGTAACTAATTAAATTGAATTTACTTAATTAATAAGTTAAATATGTCAATTTTCATATAAAGAATAATTAATGCATGATTTAAATTCTTAATTAAATAAAATAAAATAATAAATGTAATATGTTGTGACACATGGCACTCTCTCCACTGCTGACGTGGCGGAAGGATGGAGAGAGTTGGCCAACTTTTATATATATGATTTGGTATCCCGAAGTTAGTATATACTATTTCAAATAAAAACTATTTATATAATTTTGTATCCCGAAGTTAGTATTCACTCATCGATCACACCCTTATTCGGTGGAATCTGATTTTCAGAATGCATGCTAAACGCTCTTTTCTTTTTTTCTTTTCCTTTTTCTAATGAGACTGTTAATGACACCATTTAACCTAAATGTCAAACACAATGGTGTTGATCAAGTTAGCAAGCTTTAATGGCTCCAATCAAATCCAATATTTTCCTATGCATGCAAGTGGTATGTAAGATAATGTGTTTTGGACATCGATGATCAGTCTTATTTATGGCTCTTATCATAAATATGGCTTCATGTACCAAACCAAATTTCACTATCAATTATTGATTCGATGGATATATGTTACGTTGTTACAAATATTGATTGTAAATTTACATATTTATATGTCAAACTTCAGACTTCGTCGGATGGATATAGTGAGATACGAAGAAGACAAACCAACAATATAGACAGAAGACTCCATGAATTGCAATAACACAAAAAAAAAAATACAACAACCACTTTGGCTTGTACACAACCAAAAAACCGTTGACATTTTCATCAAAAACCCTAATTAAAACCCAAAAACATAATTCAATCTAATTACAAATCTATATAGACTTTAATTAACACTTAATAACACCACACACCAAAACAATAAAATACCATTTCCTATATATAGTTTTTTCGCTCCCTTTATAGACAAAATACAAGCTTGCAAGACCTATAATTCCTTAAATGGTTTTAATAACTGGACTTAGATCTTCCTTCTCGAAGCCTTTCCCAACAATGTCAAGCAGCTCCTCTTCCTCTCTCACACCATTAACCCTACCATTCCTTACCTGGTCGACCAAAGGACCATACGACCAGCTACATATCACGTAGTAGATCACATTGATGAAACTCATTATCGCGAGTACCCAATAGTAATAGTTGTAATGACCCTTGTTAATGTTGTCCGAAACCCAACTCTCTTTACCATTTCTTGAGGTTAGTTCATTGACCGCATTGAGGACCACACTTGCCAATAGACTAGCCACAGCCATTCCTAGACCGAAGAGAGAAGCTGCGATGCTAGACATGCTTTTAGGAAACTCGGTGTAGAAAAACTCAGTCTGTCCTATTGCGGTAAGAGCCTCTGCTAATCCATGTAGCACATATT